TAAAACAAATTCACGATATTAAAAACGCATTTATTAAAAACAGAAAAAGGTCAATAAAATGACAATGCATAAGTATTTTAAAATTGTATGACGTACTAGTACGTCAGTCACTTGTTGAGTATGAAGCAAACGAAATTTCCCACAGCACTGAATGGACAAGCAATGTCATGTGATCATCTGTAGCCAGTGATGGCCAAGCGGGCGTGTCACAACTAATTGACATCTTGAGTCGGTGTGTCTTAACCTAAACGTCAGAGGCTCCGTCGAACCCCTGAGACCGATTCACCGAACCCCTGGGGTTCGACTGAACCCAGGTTTAGAATCACTGGTCTAGAAGATATCCATTGCTATTGATTCTATGCATATTGCACTTACCGGCTTGCAGCAGTTGATCGTACATGTCGACAGCAGCCTTAACTTTTCTCAAGTTGATCCTTTCCTTCAGTGCCTCTTCGCTTACTTCTTCAAGGCGCAGTGATATCGTATCTGGCATCAGACACTACATACACGAAGTAAACACATTCATTCCATTTACACTGACAATCCAGTATTATAATATTTTACTTTTCATTACTATAGACACAAGTCTATAGTAATTGTACTATGTGTGTCTCTTACAGGTATATGCGGTTCAGCAAAATCTTTGGTGAAGAACTTTGGGTGATTATTGACAAAGTATTTAGCTGCAGATCTGCCAGACTCTTGAGAGAGAGAGTACAGCTTCTGCAAGGCAGAGCGAGAGAGTAAAAGAGATAGCGACAGAGAGAGACAGTGAATATTCAGATGTTGTAGGGTACATTGTCCTCTGAGATAAAATTGAAAACATTTATGTTGTTTTATCAGTGAAGAAATACACCTTTAAGGTAGACAAAAGTATGGTCGAGACCAAAAGTGTGATGACGTCAAAGACCGATCAGAGGTTGAACAAAAACAAAAACAGTGAAGGTTTGTGTAAGAGTGTAAATGTTTCGCACAAACTCAGCAGCATTCCTCGGGGAGAGGTAAGGATCATCCTGGAATTGGTAGGGATAAGCTGTATGGTCCTGGTGGAAAGAAAAGAAACATTTATGTTAACATTTGGAATGTGAAATATAGAAGAATCACTGTCTTTCTTGTAACTAACTTCACCAAAAAAATTGCACTCCACGGAACACAATCACACTCGTGAAGAGCAGACTAAAAGCAGGGTTGACTTTTTTGCCCGAGGAGCAAGTTTGTTTGAGTGTCTTGCTGCGCCAGCATTCCAAATCATTCTGCCACAGCTGTACTTAGCAAATATGAATGAATAGACACAGAAAGAAACAATAGGGGAACTCACCCTGCGCACGGTCACAGCCAAGGCCTCCAATACTGATTCTTTGCTCCTTTTTTTCCAGTGAAAAAAATAAAACAGCAGTTATTATTTCAAATTATATGACATATAAAAATAAATGTGGTCATTAAAGCTGTTAGAAAATCGACTGTATGTGAACCGTTTGGAGTCAAATTAAAATATTAAATTGAAATAATCAACATTCACTTTATGTTCTTAAAACACATACCTCACAAAGAAATAAAAACATGAAAATGCAGTAATTGTTTTTGTGGTATTACTTTAAACAGACTTTATTATTATATTATTGTTATTATTATATTGTTATTATATGACTTTGAAGAACATCAGAAGTCAGAACACATTCTGCAGTCAATTCATGCAAAAATTTATGTCATTCCAAAGAGTTCACATACTATTTCTTGCAACTGTATAATTATGGAAGTACACCTGCACTACCAGTTTGAATTTGAACCATTTGCACTGAATTACTTCTCTACCAAATTTCTTCAACTGAATTTTTTCCATCAAAAAGGTACACGTTTCAGCTTCAAAAATTCTAAATTCAGTGTCCATTTCAGCTTCAATTTCAAATTCAAGTATTCTGCATCTTCAGCTTCAAATTCAACATTTGTTTAAATGCCACTTCTCGTCAGCTAGGGGACGCTAGGCAAAAGTGGCCGAAGCAAGCACTCATTCAAGGGCCAGCAAATTTGTAGCACCCTCTAATTGTAGATAATTCATACAGCAGCAAAAAGTTAATTAGGTTTTTCACCTCCAAGATGCCAGCTCCCATGAACAAATCTACAACGCACTGAATGGGATTTTAAGATAAATTGGACAGAGAATTGTGAAGAAACTGAATACGTACTACATAATGTAGTGATTAAAAAAAATGAATGACTGAGGGAAAAAATCTGTCAGAAAATGTTATTAGTTAGCTATTAAAATTCAAACTCTGATGATATAGATACTGTATATGTCTTCCCTATAAAATAAAGGTACAAACACATACCATACTTTCTTTCTGGGTACGGTGATTGTCTCTGAGGAGTCTCCTACAACAAAATACAGAAATGTGTTGTGGATTTATTTAAACAATTGAAAACTTAAAACACAAATACAAATAAAAGGTAAAACTTAAAACACACACAAAAAAGGTAAATTAAAAACAAGGACAGAAAGACAAAATCTACACACATTCAATTCAAATAACTGTAAGATAAATAGATAACAAATATAAGTTGTGTCAGCTCCATTTAGAATAACATTTGCATCCAACATTGTTAAAGGCCGTTTTATTACTTGTAATGAGATATAAAATATTAACATGAAAATGTGAAAAAATACCCCCTTTCTACTTGCCTTTGTTGGTTTCTACAGCTTGTTGGCGTAAAGCTGAGCTCGCAACAAAATTCCTTTTAAAAGAAAATAAATAAAGCAATTATAAAACCTTTGAAATGTAAACATTCTGTGGCCTACATATATACGTACAAACAATTAATAAATATAAATAGGTATTTATTCTAAGAAGGCGCTTCATCGATTGATGACTTCACAATCATAATAAGGATATACGGTACAGAAAATGGATTTATTTTGACAGCCTGCAGTGAATTACAGTGGCATGATGACCTCCTGCCCAAGGATGCTAGCCGTAAATAAAAAGAAAAGAAAAACGAATAAACTCGTCTGTGTAGCAACAGTCTTGCAGAGACACAAACGTGGAATTTATCTTACCTATGAAACAACACTTTCTCGAGGTTGGTCAACAAAATTCGATTGTTTTTGTACATGTACTTTCCTACTTGCCACCCGGACGCCGCCATGTTGCGCTCAACGCAAAGACGTCTCGCAGGAAGAAACCATGGAGGCTTCATCGCGGGGTTGTCAAAATGAAGGTTTTTGTTTGTTTGTTTGTTTTTGGAATACGGCGCTGGTATTGACAATTTAATTTCAAGTATATTATTTCTATTTTTTACATCTATTTTTTTGTTGATTTAAAATTACATGTCTTAAATTATATCCTATATGTGCGGCCCCCACCTACTTTGGAGAGTTCGTGGGTCCTACGAGGCACGTGGGAGAAAGCAGTACCCTGACCTCATGTCGCATGTGGTCAGAAAACATCGGAATGATTTTCTAGTTGTAAACTTTCCCAAATCGGTTTAATCATCAAATATGCTCTTTAGAAAAGAAGTGCCATGGCGGCGATTGGAGGGCATGTCTTTTGGCATGTACTCTGCCGAAGAGATCAGGTTAGCTTGTTAGCTTTTGGCTTCGTGCTAAAATTGAAGTTCAAAAGTTAATGTTAACTAAATACTGTAATTGTTGTTGTTTTTTTAATCTATTGAGCCACCTCACAACATGTCATTCACCATTTTTAAATTTAAATTACCACGTTATTTTTAGGAAGGAACTTTCGCCACTTCCTTTGAATGTCACATTTGAAATTTAGCATTTAAATTTATATTGATATAAAGTGTAACGAAATCAAGTGCAGTCAAACATATGTTGTGAGTAAGTTGGATATTCTGGTCTTGTCTAGGAAGTTGAGCGTAAAGACGATCACCAACTCAAGGATGCTTGATGGTGTTGGGAATACGCTCCCAAATAGCCTCTATGACTTGGCCCTGGGACCAGCAGACAACAAAGAGGTAGGTGTGTGTTCATGGCTGTCATTCATATTATTTACAACAAAAATGACCAAACGTCAGCCAATAATGTTGTTGTAGGTATGAATGACAGTGGCGACAATTATCTTTGAAATGCTAGGCTTGCTTTTTATTTATTTGTTTGTTTATTTTTGTTCCATTAGACATGTTCAACTTGCTGCCAGGACTTCAGCCACTGTCCAGGACACCTGGGACATGTAGAGCTACCTCTTCCTGTTTACAACCCACTATTTTTTGACGTAAGAATCATGCACACACACACAGTTGCCACTTGCACTTTTACACACTGCCGTTGCTGGAAATTTGTCTTGTGAAGGCTTCATAAAATAAATCCTTTCTATTTTCTTCTTGTGTTTTTGCTCATTTTCAGAAACTCTACCTGTTGATTCGTGGGTCGTGTCTGACATGCCAAATGTTAACATGTCCACGGGCAGCCATCCACCTACTGTTGAACCAACTGAAATTACTGGACTATGGAGCCTTACAGCAGGTTTACCAGATAGAGGAAGTTTTCAGCCAGGTGAGGTTTAAGCTTAACATTTATAATATATTATAACAACGTGTTGAATTTCACCTTCATGAATCACAAATAGGATACATTTTAAATCAATACATACTGTACATTTCATCCAGATATCCTGCAGACAACACTAAACAATGCATGGATTATTATTCAAATATGTATTGTAATATGAATAAATTCTAGGTTTTTCTTGGTGTACGATTTCACAAAACTGACCACGATACCACTGGTGTTTTTTGTTGTTGTTGTTTTTGTTGTTTTTTTGTGAATATGGTTATGCTAGTTTCTGGAGGAGAAAGGAAAACCCACTGGTGACGATATTGCAGCGAAGTTAAAAGAGTTCACAGATTCAGTTGTCACATCTGAAATCTCAGGAAACAGCAAGCCGGTCAGTAAAAACATTCACTCTCTACATATAGATTTATACAGTATATTATTTTGGGTGGATGATGAACATGTAATTGTGATAAATGAATATTCACACGAATAACAACCTAACCAATTTGGATCTACTCCTTTGTCCTTTTTTTCATTCATGTATAACCATTTTTTCCCTCAACAGATAAAACACCTTGTCGAAAGAAAAGCCAGTTTAATAAATGATTTCTGGAAAATTCACATGCAAAGTCGGAAATGTCCCAATTGCAGGTAATACTACATCAAAGGCTTACCATAACCAACTCTTGTCTTGGACCATTATTATAAGAACATCAGAGTCTCTTATTATTCCCCCTTTTAAATTATTTTTGTAATTACAATCCCAATTCCAATGAAGTTGGGACGTTGTGTGAAACATAAATAGAAACAGAATACGATGAGTTGCAAATCATGTTCAAGCTATATTTAATTGAATACACGACAAAGACCAGATATTTTATGTTCAAAACTGATAAACTTCGTTTTTTGCAAATATTCATTAAGTTAGAATTTTATGGCTGCAACATGTTCCAAAAAGCGTATTTATGTTTAACACAAGGTCCCAACTTCATTGGAATTGGGTACATAATAATGCATGACTTTGCTGGAGATGTTTTCCCTTCCAATTGGAATCAATGAATTTTTAAATTGTCATTGTGTCGGGATTTGTGCTGCATTACTTACATGTTAATGAAACACTGTGTGCAAACAGGAGCAAGCGGTTCACCATCCGACGTGAGCACAACAGTAAGCTGATTGTCACGCTGCCCCCTGACACGCAAAGCATTCTCAAACCCGATGGTCAGTCTTTTTCATCTTTTTCTTATAATCGTTAAGTCTCGTGCAGTATTCTACTTTCTACCCTTTTAATTTTGTGCGTTCGGTCAGATAAAAGGCTCAGAGTTGAAAGCCATATTTGGTTTGCTTTTTTTTCATGAATGATGAGTGCTATCTGGCATTATCAGAATCAGAATCATCTTTATTGGCCAAATATTGGCCAAACCAAACCGTGATGGAAGAACACAGGATTGATTCGATGACTGCTGTTATCTCCACCCCCCTTCCCTGAACAGGATAAATGTCCCAGAAAAAGGAAGACATTAACATAGATACCAATATTTTGATTGTACTTTTTTATAGGGGAGCTGATGACTGGAGACAGAGCGTACTTGACTGCTAGTACTGCCAGAGAACACATCAACAAACTGTGGAAGAATGAAGGTGAGTGTTTTTGAGGGGGCTAGACTAGATAAAGGGCATTTGAAATAATTTCAATTTGCCAGCTATTGTCATTATGTGCCCATGTCTTGGCGTTCCACAAGACTTAGCCAGCGGAGATGGGAGATTGAATGGTTTTACCGATATCACTCATCTCTCTTTTCTCTCCAGGCTTCTTCCTGAGGTGTCTATTTTCTGGGTTGGTGGTCAACTCCGGATCAGATGGAGAGGAGAAAGGTTTTTCTCCGGATCTCTTCTTTCTGGAGCTGATGGTGGTTCCACCTTCTAGGTACAACACATCCACTTTCACAAAAATCTGTGCATGGTTTTGCTTCAAGATGTGTGACTATAAAGTCTTTCTTTTTTCTACAGGTATCGGCCAATCAATCGACTGGGTGACCAAATGTTTACCAACGGTCAGACGGTCAACATGCAAGCCGTCATGAAGGACAGTACAATCGTAAGAAAACTGCTTTCTCTCATGGCTGCTGAGAAAGATACTGAGGAAGATGAGGTAAGATTTTGTCTATATGTTTAAATTGAAGAAAAAATGACACATTTTCATTTTGCCTTTGCCTTATTTTATCAGTCCCAGGCAGCTGAAGCGGCAGACCGATCTTTTCTCGCAGAGATTCCTGGAACGACATTAACGGATAAACTTTACAACATGTGGATTCGCCTTCAGACCCACATCAATATTGTCTTTGACAGTGACATGGACAAAATTATGCCGGAAAAGTACCCAGGAATCAGACAGGTACATTGTGCAAAAGAAACCAAACATCACCGACCTAAATATAAACTGTCTTAAGTCTGTCATTTACAGTGAAACTCCTCTACAACGAAATCATGTTTGCAGCAAGAAATTTTTCACAACAGGGGGTTTTTCACTGTAGCAAATTTGATCTCAGATGTAAGCACACACACACCCACACACACAAACGTATGTGTACACGCACACACAAACGTTTGTGTACTCTATTTTTATTCCAATAGTACATAAGTATGAGCACACACTTATTTGACACTTCATATTGTCAGTGTAGAAAGAAAAAAAGGGAAAGAAATTGCGAAATTTACGATCAGCATTCACTTTCACTTACATCAATTTCTTGGAAAATGTCTTTTATTTTGCTTGCTCCGTCTTTCATTTTGATCACTTTTACCCTCTCTTCCAGCATCAGAGCTCTTCTTGTCTTAGCTGCTTGACATCAAAAGGTCCGTTTTGTAGCCATTTTAGCAATGCAACGTCCATCCTCGTCTGAATCTAACAATAACAAATACTTCCTGGCATGCAATGAACTTTTAAGCCAGCCACGGGGCGCTTCGTAGTCCTCGATGGCCATAGTTAGCTCTCGAAGGCTAAAAACCTTACGCTAACTGGAGCGCTTCTCTCTCATTAGCGCTCCAGTGGCTCGACGGACATTCAAATAAACGAACGTTTCCTCGAATGCTTTACTTGTTATCATGCTAACTATGGCCATCGAGGACTACGAAGCGCCCCGTGGCTGGCTTAAAAGTTCATTGCATGCCAGGAAGTATTTGTTATTGTTAGATTCAGACGAGGATGGACGTTGCATTGCTAAAATGGCTACAAAACGGACCTTTTGATGTCAAGCAGCTAAGACAAGAAGAGCTCTGATGCTGGAAGAGAGGGTAAAAGTGATCAAAATGAAAGACGGAGCAAGCAAAATAAAAGACATTTTCCAAGAAATTGATGTAAGTGAAAGTGAATGCTGATCGTAAATTTCGCAATTTCTTTCCCTTTTTTTCTTTCTACACTGACAATATGAAGTGTCAAATAAGTGTGTGCTCATACTTATGTACTATTGGAATAAAAATAGAGTACACAAACGTTTGTGTGTGCGTGTACACATACGTTTGTGTGTGTGGGTGTGTGTGTGCTTACATCTGAGATCAAATTTGCTACAGTGAAAAACCCCCTGTTGTGAAAAATTTCTTGCTGCAAACATGATTTCGTTGTAGAGGAGTTTCACTGTACAATAATAAATATCTGCCCGAACCCGCTACTTGAGGGATAGTGGTATTTACTATAATAACAGTAGAGTGCAGATAATAATATTTTCATTTAGTTATTTTATTCTTTTAGTAATAATGAAAATGATCATTCACCCAAACAGTTTGTCATTGATCACAATTACAACAAGGGAAGCCAAATAAACTTGTATGGTCCCGTAATTCATGAATAAATCGCAACAAATTTGATATTGTAATAATAAATGCAATTATTGTGATTACTATTGACAATATTCTATATTCTGTCTTGGTTATAAAGCCAGCGGCGCGATGGGCGCCTGATTGGCATGTCCGCCTCGCAGGGCATAGATCAGGGTTTCATCAATCTCATTAAATTGAGGGTTTGATGTTTTTCTCAGGAGCTCTTGTCTTATATGCAGTTTCATGCAGTAACCCCGCCTACTGCTTGAAGGCAGCTGGGATAGGCCCCAGCACGCCTGCGAACCTCACGAGGCTCAAGCGGTTCAAATAATGGATGGATGGAGGGTTATAAAGCATACGAAATGTGATCCAATCTCAAGCAGCACAGATCTGATACCCTGAACAATTTCCACCTGTTCTAGCTTTTAATGTCAATGACTAATTTTAATAATTCACTGTATAATTACATGATTGCTCAGGTGAACAATTGATTATTTGTGTGACAATGCTTTCCTGTCACCCTGAAAGAAGAGTGGGCTGACTACGTCGTCATTTCAAATTTTTTAATGTCGTGTTACTGACTTTTTATGTGTCCTGTTTTTTCCTTTGTAGATCCTGGAAAAAAAGGATGGATTATTCCGTAAACACATGATGGGCAAAAGAGTTGATTATGCTGCAAGATCTGTCATCTGTCCAGATATGTACATCGGAACCAATGAGATTGGAATTCCAATGGTATGTTTGAGTCAATCATTTTTTAAAAATATACCCCCATAAATAAATGCACTTTTGGTGGAAAATAGTCACAAGTAAATAGTACCGTTGAGTTTCTTCATGACTGTCATTACTGGTCAATAGCAAATTTTAATCAGAGATTGCGTATGTGTCCCTAAGTATTTTTAAAGCTGATTACAAAAGTGTCTTTACTTTTTTCGAGCACATCATGTTTTGGAGATATTTTAGTTTTTTGTTTTTCAATATTACCTCTAAAAACCTTGCACAATACAGATATCGCATGCTATGTCATTTAGAGCGATGACATTCCAGAAAAAAAACCCAACATTCCACTAAATATATTAAATATTCTATAATAGTAATTATTATTACTATTATGAAAACCTGATGTGCTCGATGAAAAAAGGAGTACAAATTTGTTGACCAGTTTCTCATGTCTGTGTAGGTGTTTGCAACAAAGCTGACCTACCCACAGCCTGTCACGCCGTGGAATGTGAAGGAGCTTCGTCAGGCTGTCCTGAATGGGCCAAATGTCCACCCAGGCGCCACTATGGTCATTAGCGAAGATGGCAGGAGAACCATCTTGTCACCAAGTAACTTTGCACAAAGAGAAGCGGTTGCTAAGCAGCTGCTCACGCCCTGTCCAGGTCCACACAGGATGCCAATGAAATTAGTGAGTCAGTGAAAAGGAATTTCTATGCGACGCTCATTGTGTTGGACAATCCACGACCTGAACGTGGCTTTATTTAGACATAAAATTAAGCATCCCGTGCAAGCTGTCATACCATCGTCAATTGGTGGTCTGTCTTTGTTTTCTCAAGGTGAACCGTCATATTAAGGACGGAGATGTCTTGTTGTTGAACAGACAGCCAACGTTGCACCGACCGTCAATACAGGCTCACTGCGCACGCATTTTGCCAGGAGAGAAGGTCTGTATATCTATTTAGTGAACAGTTTTAATCACTGTCAACCATAGGACTCAATTACATTATTAATTTAGACTGGTTTACTTGTTTTGTGCAACAGGTCCTGAGGCTCCACTATGCTAACTGCAAAGCTTACAATGCAGACTTTGATGGAGATGAGATGAATGCCCACTTCCCTCAGAGTGAGCTTGGTCGAGCTGAGGCCTACACGTTAGTCAGTACACACCAACAGTACCTTGTGCCAAAGGTAGATGAATGCATGCATGCATTTAGTACACCTTGACAGTTGCAAAAGCAAACAATTGCTCTCATGTTGATTGATTTACAATGCTGTGAAAAGGTACTGCCCCCACCCGTCATATTCATCACACTTGAATGTTTCAGATAGTTAATCTTTTACAGACTGGCACGGTGGGCAACTAGTTAGCACATATGCCTCATGGTGCAGAGACACAGGGTTTGATTTCGGCCCTGGCCTTCATGTGCGGTGTTTGAATGTTCTCCCCGTGCCTGTGTCGGTTTTCTCCGGTTACTCCAGTTTCCTCCTACATTTCAAAAACGTGTGGCAGGTTAGAACATACATACATTGCATTACATACTTATCACTAGTTTGTTCTTTGTTTCATCAGGATGGAAAGCCCCTGGCTGGCTTGATCCAGGATCACATGGTTTCCGGTGCACGCATGACAATTCGAGGCTGTTTCTTCACAAGAGATCAGTACACTGAGCTTGTGTACAGAGGACTGACTGACAAACCAGGCCGAGTCAAACTGCTCCGACCTGCATTGCTCAAGCCACAGAAACTCTGGACAGGGAAGCAGGTAGTGTGACATCTGTGATCCTTGACTTTTTAACTAAGATTACACCACATTTCTGTGCAACGGGGGAAAGAAATCTTGGTTAGTTTAATGGCTATGAAGTGATCATGTAAAGCGAAGGTAAACATTGCCTTGCCCTTTTATAGGTGGTGTCCACCCTGCTGCTCAATGTTATTCCAGAAAAGGCTGTGCCTTTAAATCTGGTCGGGAAATCAAAAATCCCCGGTAAATCATGGATCCAAGTTCCCCCACGAGCGACTCCAGGATATCAACCTGACACCATGTGTGACTCACAGGTGGATACACACATACACACACCTGTTTTTGTTGCTTTCAGGAATTTAATCATGGCAGCAAGTTATGAAAATGAGATTGAACAGTTTACTTTAAAAATGTATTGTCCTTGTTAGGTGGTTATCCGTCAGGGTGAATTGTTAGTGGGCGTTCTGGACAAAGCTCACTACGGCTCCTCTGCATATGGTCTGGTCCATTGCTGCTATGAACTTTATGGAGGGGAGACCAGCGGCAAACTGCTCAGCTGTCTGGCCAGGCTCTTTACTGCTTACCTTCAGTTATATCGAGGATTCACGCTGGGTAAATTAAGTCATGTTTTCTTTTCCCACAGAGATACAGTATTTCAAAATGTTTACCTCCGCTATGTTTTTTTTTCTATGAGGCGTTGAGGACATTCTTGTGAAACCTGGTGCCAACAAAAAGAGGAAAAGGATTATCCAAGAATCACTGAAAATCGGCACAAGGGTGAGTTCAAGCAGCTACTCCTCATCGTTCTTGTTTGCTTCAAAAGGTCAACATCTTTACTCTCATCGGTCAAACTGCAAACAGAGCAGTGCAAAATACCGCAGCCTTGTCAAATTCAGTGGATCCTCCGCGGTGGGTGCTACTGGCCAAAATGTCTGCAACAGTGAAGATGGAGTTTGTGGGCCCCGTTGTGCTCCATCATGGCCTCTGGGCATAAATATGTACTCCACACAAACACTAAATGTGAAAGCTTACTCTAGCTTTAGCCTAATACAGAATGTGTTTCAAAGAATGGTAACAACAACAGTCCTTCTCGGGGAGACATTTCAGTTTTGACATGGTAATCATCCTTCTATTCATTTCTTAGGCCCTCCAGGCAGCATTCAACCTCCCCCCTGACGTGGATGAGGCAGAGGCCAAGAGCCGTTGGCAGGATGCTCATCTCAACCCAGACCAGCGAGATTTTAGCATGGCTGACCACAAATTCAAAGAAGTCGCCAACCAAGTGAACAATGACATTAACAAGGTAACGTATCAACTTTTAAACTGTTCATGGTATAACCACTTTTTTTTTTTTTTGTTTACTGTTGTTTTAGTTCAACAACGTAACTTATCATCAGATTCAAAACAGAAGACTCCAAGACAGGGGTATCCAAATCACGTCCTCGAGGGCCACCATCCTGCATGTGTTAGATGTTTCCCTCCTCCAACACAGCTGGTTCAATTGATCAGGGTTGTTATCAGGCTTCTACAAAGCTTGCTGGTGAGCTGGTCATTTGGTTATGGTGTGTTGGAGGAGTGAAAGATCTAAAACATGCTGTTATGTCACACTTCCATAGTCAGCAGTGCCGCAGTCACGGGTATGCAATCAAGGACAAGATCATAGCCGCCACATTATCAACTATTGCAGCTTTGTCAAATTCAGTACACCCTTCCCAGTGGGTGCTACTGGCCAAAATGGCTGCGACATTAAAGTTGTAGTTCGTGGGCCCCGTTGTGCTCCAACATGGCCTGTGGGGATAAATACGTGCTACACACAAACAGTAAATGCTATAGCTGGAAACCTATAGTAAGTCGGTGTTTTGTAAATATTTTACTTGATGCGAGTTGTCCATACTCTTCCAAGCTTAGCTAATCATCAGTGCTAGTTGGTAGTATCAATGTGTATAGTACTTTAGTCGTCGACAATGTAGAAGAACAGTAATGAATACCCAAAATTTGTGGTGCATAGTGACCAAACACCGCTACAAATCTGCAAATAATTCCCCAAAAGGTTTCTAATTTCGTATTGATGACACAAGATGACGGCAAAGCACTTAAACGGAATCGGATCATGTAGCATCAACATCATGCACTTAGCATGTACACCATCATGAACCCATGGTACATAAATGACATTGTCAATGAATAATGGAGACTATTTTCCCCTAAAAGAAAATAGCTGTGACAAACTGCAAATATGTGGGAGTTGTGAATAAACCGCCAAACTCAGTTTGAAGTGTGTATTGCAGGGATCTTTAATTCCGATGAGTCTATCTTGTCCCTTGTAGGTGTGTATGCCAGTTGGCCTCCACACGTCTTTCCCCGACAATAACCTCCAACTGATGGTCCAGTCAGGTGCCAAGGGTTCCACCGTCAACACCATGCAGGTATATTTGCCTGCTCCTCTCTTCTCAATGAGATTGAAATTCATTAGACTTCCACTACCTCAATATTCATATAACCTCCTAGATCAGGAACGCCCCTAACATGAACAAAACAGAAAAAGTTGGTATCAGAGTGTGTGAAAAGGAAATGACTTCCTACCTTAGTAGAGACCTGATGCGGAGGCAGGGGATGCACTGTTGCAGTGTGTTCAGTGCAGAAACTATCGTATATATGTGTACCCTTTTGAAATGCTTCTGCTGGCGCTTCAAATACCCATTCTTTGCCAGTGCTATCGGTGAACTACAGAAGAAACAAACTTTGAATGAGTATAATCGGGGAAAAAAAAATTAATGTTAAATATTTATTTTATTTACCTTCTTGAAACTGGAAAAAAAATTGTTAAATATTTATTTTATTTACCTTCTTGAAACTGATAGGATGCTTAGGGTGCAGTGTACACAAACACAAAAATATATAATATTACAACTTGCACACAGATATGCAAATCTTTTTTTTTCACCCATTTCCCTTTACACCCCTCGCCATCGACTTGGGACTAGTCTGCAGTCGATCACACCCCTGTCGTAAACGGTTGACCCTGCAAGCTTCATTATTTGTGTGCATGTGTCAGATCTCGTGTCTACTAGGTCAGATTGAGTTAGAGGGTCGTAGACCTCCACTCATGCCGTCTGGAAAATCACTACCCTGCTTCCAGCCGTATGACCCAGCGCCCGGTGCTGGGGGTTTTGTTTCTGGGAGGTTCCTCACAGGCATCAAACCACAGGTGTGTGTTTGTATTCAAGCTTAGTTTTTTTTTTTTTTTTTAAACTGAAGATTGGAAAAATGACTGCAGGCTTGCATTTAATGTTACTGTTAACTTTGTGGTCATGCTACCATCAGGAATTTTTCTTCCATTGCATGGCTGGCAGAGAAGGACTCGTGGATACTGCTGTAAAAACGTCCAGATCAGGATACCTGCAGAGGTAAATCAACCAGTGAGAGGCAGAAATGGAAGAAAAAAAAGGTTCCACTAATGGTGTTGTACGTCTCATTTTATCTCATGTATTCTTTTATTTACCTCTGTAGGTGTGTTATAAAGCATCTGGAGGGTTTGGTAGTACAGTATGATCTGACAGTGAGGGACAGCGATGGATCTGTAGTCCAGTTCCTGTATGGTGAAGATGGGCTTGATATCCCGAAGACACAGTTCCTGCAGCCCAGGCAGTTTCCCTTCATAGAGGACAATTTTGAGGTGAATCTGCAGTTGTTGCAAATCGGCCATGCTCTAGTACAGGGGCCCCCAACCTTTTTTGCCCCACGGACCGGTTTATGTCAGACAATATTTTCAGGGACCGGCATTTAAGGTGTGGCGGAAATAATACAACAAAATAATATGGTATATGAGCTGCATGAAAACTGTGGTGTTTTCGAAATATAATAATAAACACAAGGAGCGTCTAATCTGGCCGCAACACTCTGATCGCGATGGCAATGTTTAATGCCTTCAAAATACGATACAACGCAAATTCAAAGTGCATGAAAATGACGACTCACCACAGCACCGAGCTTGATTTTCTGCAACCAGACGGTCCCATCTCGGGGTAATAGGAGAGACAATGACACCTCAAGTGTGTGGTTTATGTCCAGTCTACTTCTTAATTTTGTTTTCGTCGCCGTTGCTGCATAATCCCCCCCGCCTCACACAGGTAGGATGTCGGAAATAGCAACAGTGCTATTGTGGCGATCTCAGAGTATTCAGCCATAACTTTAATCCAGTTGTCTCGAACGTACTTTTAAGGCCGCCGTCATTTGCGATCTCCAGCAGTTTTTTTACTCATTTTGCGAGCTCCGGTGTTTGTTTTTAGCCTAATTGGTCACGTTACGGAGAAGCGTGGCTTGACGTGTGTCAAGCTGGACACAGACGGATGTAACGGAGAATCCGGTAAGTTTTCAAAATAAAACATCTTTCGTATTCCGAAATAAATAAAACAGAATTAAGGCAAGTTCTTTCTGTGCGGCCCGGTACCAAATGCCCGGCAGACCGGTACCGGTCCGCGGACCGGCGGTTGGGGACCCCTGCTCTAGTAATAATTTTCTGACAGTACTAAATGAACAAAACAGCAGCCTTGTCAAATTCAGTGCATCCTCCTCAGTGTATGCCACTGGCCAAAATGGCTGCCACAGTGAAAATGTAGTAGATGGGCCCCATTGTCCTGCAATATGGCCATCGGGGATAAATTTTACTACACACAGGTTTTGTAGCTAAAATACTTTGTAATCCATTCTTAATGGCATATATGTGAGGTTTTGGAATATTGTTTAAATGTCTCCATAATTTAGGTCTTCCCAAATGCGAGTGCTTGACGACATTTGCACATTACGTAGCATTCCACTTGCTAAGTAGAGAGCTAAAACCTGAGAGTTATTTTTCTCATTTTCATGAAATGTTGAAAAACACGCTTGGATTAAGCAGTTGCTGGGACTCTTTGTATAATTGCAACGTAATAAACAATTTGATGTTGCTGTAGGTAATACGGAAGTCCCAGGGCTTGGATGAGGTGTTAGCACAGTTGGACCCTCAAGGTGCCAGTCAACATTTTTCAGCCATACAGCGCTGGAAAGCAAAGAGAGAGGTGGCTTGTCCTCACAGAGGTGCATAAATTATGTCGACACTTCAAATGTTACTTATTTCGCTTCATGCCACTACCACTACTGACTACAGTCCTCATATTGTATTGTAATCTGTTACAGGAGCATTCCTATTGTTTTCCCAAAAGAAGATGGCCAAACTAAAGCGGACTGAACAAGGCGCAATACAAAATGTGTGTGGCAGAGATGCAGCTGTTCTGAAGGTATTCCTGTCACATTGTTTTTAGGATTAACACCTTAAACGTGATCCTATTTGCACATTTTCATTGCCACCGTTAATCTTTCTCCAGCTGATAGAACAGTGGCGTGCTCTTGACGAAGCTGGACAATCAAAATACACAAGAAAATCCTCCCGCTGCCCTGAGCCCTGCCTGAGCGTGTTTAGGCCTGATCTCAGCTTTGGATCTGTTTCTGAAAGTTTTCACGACATCACCGAGAAATACTTGCAGAATCGAGACACAATATGTCAACAAGGCTTGGATGCGGACAGGTAAACAACGGTGATAATGCGATGAGCGGTCTTATTATGGACACCTCATCTGTGTCATCATCTTAGACAAATATGTAAGCATATAGAGCAGGGGTGCCCATTACGTCGATCGCGATCGACCGGTAGATCGCGGACTGGTCCCAAGTCAATCGCGAAGGTTGTAGAGGAGAAAAAAAAGCAAACAACCATTTGTGTGTCTCTGTGCATGTTAGTAATATATTTTTTTGTGTTAATGTACACTGCACACCCTAATCATTCTATCAATCTCATTTTCACAAAAAGTATTTAAAAAATAAAATAAAGCAGGTAAATCTTTAACCTATGGTGGCGTGTGCCGGAAGTTGTTAGCGCTCAGCAGTCTGCAATTGCAGCTTGTGATCAGAGCTCTTGCACTATATCTTTTATCGTTATCATTATTCTCATTCAGAGTTTGTTTCGTGTACAATTCACCGAGGGCACGGACAAAGAATAGGAATCTAGAGGGCCGAGGGGAAGCACTTTAAAACGGTACGTGTGAGCTACAATCGTTAACAGGCTGCAAAAGTGCATCACATGCCTCCGTGTCAGGCTGTTGCTCATCACGGCGTGCGTGTGAATGTGCGTGTGTGTGTGCGGTAACGGGTTGATCGCGGGAGGTTGGTTGATCGTAACGTCGATCTTCGGTCTATAAAGTTTGGGCACCCCAGAAAGAGAGAGAGTTGAGCACTTTAACCAGTGCTATCTTTGTAATTTCTCACCCTTTTCATACTGTACATTTAAGTTTTTTACATACTGGTGTCTTTTGAAAGTACTCTGTTTGTTGAGGAATTGTTTTCACAAAAGAAACGTTCGTATTTTGTGCTGAAGGTATTTGGTCTTTTGTCCGTATGATGCATACATTTCATCTCCCGCCAGAGGTGTGTGCAAAGCACGCTTCTTGTCTTGGTCTCAGTGCTCTTGTTATCTGTATTATTTGTTTTCAGACTTCGACAGCTGTTGCATTACAAGTGGCAACGGTCACTGTGTGATCCAGGGGAAGCGGTGGGTCTGCTGGCAGCTCAGTCCATCGGTGAGCCCTCTACCCAAATGACCCTCAACACCTTCCACTTTGCTGGCAGGGGAGAGATGAATGTCACATTGGGAATACCTCGGTAATGTCAGGATGTTATGACTCTCAGTTGCAGTCAATGTATGTATGCATTAAAAGAAAAGTTGATCACGGTTATCTTTGGCTGTGTCACAGACTGAGAGAGATCCTGATGGTGGCCAGCTCCAACATCAAAACTCCCATGATGAGTGTTCCAGTGCTGAACAGCAAGAAGGCATTAAAGAGAGCTCAGAAACTCCGCAGAAAACTGACCAGGGTCTGCTTGGCTGAAGTAAGAACGGATCTTGTTTTTTTTTTTAGTTGCCTTTTTGCATTCGTTGATTTGTTTGTCTTGTTGCTGGCTTCACTTGTCCCTTTCTATTTTCTCCTGTACTTTGTGAACTGTGTGTGAGAGCAGGTACTGCACAAAGTCAATGTGGTAGAGACACTGCGCATCGATCGTCTCCCTCAGTCAAAGATGCGGACATTCAAAATCACTTTCAGCTTTCTTCAGCCTGACCATTACGCTGGAGATAAACAGCTCTCACCCCAACAGATCCTCCATTACATGGAAACGAGGTTCACCATTAATATCTTACCATTGAAGACGGTTCTAATTAAAACCACCTAACCTCGTCGTTTATGACGCTTCCCTCAGATTTTTTGAACTTCTCCTAAAAGCCATTGAAAAACGCAGCGCCAAGCTGGCATCTATTGCTGTGGAGACCAGGAGGGCCACCCTCAAGGACAAAGACAATGATGGAAATCAAGTGGCTGATATAGAAGGGGTATAGCTTGACATATATATTAATCATATGTTTAGTTTCTTTCTTTTTTTTGAAATTCTTGCTGTTATCTTTTCTTCATGTTATCATATTTCTATTGTCAGGGGGGAGACGGGGAGGAAGAGCCAGAGAGAGAAATTGTTGATGACCAGGCGAATGAAGGCGATGCTGACGCCTCAGATGCCAAGAGAAAAGACAAGCAAGAAGAGGAAGTAAGAGGATAAATGAACATATGTGCCGTACGATATTGTAGCGTTAGAACACTTCTGGGGGGAAAATATTCTTGAAGGAGCCTTCATCAGTCTTTGACTCTAACACCAAGTTCAACAAATAATCCATCTTTTTTTCCCATGAAGAAAAGTCAAATATTTTAAGAAATAAACCGTATAGTTTTAAAATCAGCATTAATGCGCACTGTTTGGAGGGCACCATTGTTTACAATCTTTCATATTTGCTTCAATAACATCAAGATGGCTACAGAGCCTCTTTTTCTTGAAAGAGTCTGATTTGTTCCGTTTATTACGGTAGTCGAGTGCATTTGCATATTGTACAGTCATGAAAAAACTTTTCGCTAGTTCTTGCTGGTTATTTACAATAAATTCAGGAATGACTGTCAAACTCATAGAGACTATTTTCCATTTGACACCTGCACTGCTCTCTTCCTCTGTAGGTCGATTATGATAGCGAAGACGAAGGTGAGGATAAGGACGATGTGGAGGAGGAAGATGAGGCGCAAGAGAATGCGGAGATGAGTGTGGAGGACTCCCAAATGGAGTCCATGGGTGTGAAATTGCAGATGCGAAAGAAACAACCACCAAGTGGGGGAGGACAGGAGTCTCTCGATCAGATGAGAGTGAACGCCGTTCTGAATTGCCATCCCGCAATAGAGGGCTACTGCTATGACCTCAAATATGAACTCTGGTGTGAAGTAAGTTTTCATTCGGTCAATGCAGTCTTGTATTTGTTAGCACACTTATTTCTGCATGCTTTCCTCTTCTGTTAGAGCCGCTCCAATTTATAACTAGAGGCCTCCATACAAATAACCTTGGTGCGAAGTGGCAGTAAAATGAATTCACCCATCACGTCATTAAACGTGTGGTATTCGGTATTACTCTCGTTGACAGTTGGACCTGGCTTTGCCAGTGAACAAAGTGCACCTCGACCTGACGTCAGTTGTGTCAACACTGGCCCAAGACGCCATCATCATGGAAACCAGGGGCCTAACTCGATGCCTTCTGAGTGAGACCACAACTCAGACTGGAGAAAAAGAGATGGTTCTCAACACGGAGGGCATCAACATGTACAAAATGTTTGAGTACAGTGACGTATGTGATTCCAAGATATTTGTGGCTATACATTGCAGTCATGTTTGTTAAAGGACATTTAGGGATTTTCAAAGCGAAAGTTGATTTACCTTTTGTTGCTCTTTTTTTTTTTTTTTTTTAATTGATGTCAACATACAATTACAATTCCTAAGATCTGATTGCTCTGTTTATGTGATCATCTTTTTGACTGTATTCTCCTCTAGATCCTGGATCTTAACAGGCTCTATTCCAATGAGGTCCATGTCATGGCGAACACCTACGGGATTGAAGTGGCTCTCAAAGTCATAGAGAAAGAAATCAAAGATGTTTTTGCTGTTTATGGTATGCATACCCACTCACTGCACAACCCCTGACAAGTTCAGAACCACTCTAGCTCACGATTTTCTCCTTCTAGGTATCGAGGTGGATCCCAGACATTTGTCACTTGTGGCAGACTACATGTGTTTTGAAGGGGTATATAAGCCACTGAACCGCCATGCCATTAGGTCCAATTCCTCCCCTCTGCAGCAAATGACTTTTGAGACCAGCTACAAATTCCTCAAACAGGCTACCATGCTGGGTGAGCATTTGCTAATACAAATGACAAAAGAAAATGCTATGTAATTGTTGTTTCCAACAACTTCTTCCTCATGGGCCTATAGCTCAAGCCTAGGAACACAGGTAACCCGAAAGAATTTAGAAAGTGACATTGGTTCAAATACTTGAAAAATATTACAAAAATAACTGTGGACAGTATATTATCATGTGTTGCGGAGAAAAAAAAATCTACGACAATATTTGTCTGATACACAAAAGTATTTTGACAAAATGGGTGAACGAGCCAAAGAAGCTAAAAGAGGCAAAACAGTGAATGTAGTCGAAGAGCCAAAGGAATTTTATATGCTGACACAAGTAAGATAAGATATCCTTTATTTGTCCCACACTGGGGAAATTTACAGCCTTCAGCAGCAAGATTGTGGGTAGAAAGAAGAGAAAAGAAAACACAGTTCAATTAAGTGCAATATAAATACAAATATGGAT